TTATGGCGCAATGTGCGATTTCTCTTTTTTTTTCCCCTGGCCTTTTAACAGAGAGAGGGTTATACAATGGAACAGGTTGAAGGGCTGGTTCGGATGTGTCCGCTGTTTCTCTGCCCCCCCCCCCCCTCTTCACTCCCCCTTTGGGAAAGAGCTTCTATGGCTTCTATTGACGCCAAGGAAGGGCTCTGTCCCTTTAAGGTCACGGCATGCTCTGGTATGATGTTTAGAAGGACAGCTGGGCTATGGCCATCTGACTGACTTCGGCTTGACATCTGGGAGCGCACTGGTGTGTGGCACGCGAATCGCTTGATGTCGCTATTTAAATGCAAATTTGTGGGGGGATCATTGAAGCCTCACCCCGTAAATTCACACAAAAGGAACACTTCACACACTCCAAGAAAGGAGGAGGGCTGCGACTTCGGGAGGTCTTAGTCGCCGCATGCAAATCTCATTCAAATCCGCCGCACCTTCTGCCTGACCAAGTTGGCCGAGGTCAAGTCCTTGGGGAGGAGGGGAATGTGCGGGGAAAGGGCTGATTGGCGGGAGCTGGGCTCTACCCCAGCCGGGCTTGAACCAGCTCAGCTGAAGCTCCCAGCTCTTGGCTTCCTCCTTTGAACTGGAGAGGGGCGCTTCTAATGAGGAAAGGGAGAGAGGGCGAATGAGTCCCTCTGTGTTGAACTAGGCCTGGCTGGTCCATCGCGGGTCGCAAAAGTTTTTAGAACCTCAACAAGTTTCGCCCCACGCCTTCCCTCCTTCTTCCAGAAGAAAACACAATGCTTGCTTCCCCCCCCCCCCCGGACGCGTCCGGGTCCCCGCGAACTTCACCTTAACAACATGGCTTTTGTCTCCCTCTTCCTCTCCTTTCCACTTTAGGCGAAGAAAGACCGTGTTTTTTTTCTCGGAACGCATTGATTTCCCCGAAGGATTATTAAAAGCAATCTTCCTCTCATACTAAGTAGCCCTTTCAACAGGAGGCAGAAACACACACCGGCCCGCCCGCCCCTCCCTCCCTATGCCCGGGGCAGAAGCGAGGCATTTGCGCCCATCGCTGGGATGGAAAACCTGGGGTTTTTTAGTAAATAAGATGCTTAAAATAAACCAGCCCTTGGAGTTGAATTCACACTTCCCGGGGAATATATATATATATATATATTCCTGTAAACATGGCTTCTGGTAAAGAGAGAGAGAGAGAAGAAAAGAGGAAAGAAAAGCAAAGTTGGTGAACGATAAAGACCGTATTTTCCACGCTTTGGGTTCAGGACCAGATGATCTAGAAAATGAGCTGAAATAGATTCAGCCTCAGAGTCTAATGTGAAGAGCAGCTGACTCCCTATTCCTGGCCAGATGGCTTCTAAACACAGATTTGCATTCATTTTCGCTTAATATCGTCCAAAATAGTGGGGCAGCTGCATTTGTCGTCAAAAAGGTTTAAAAGTCTCCCTTTTTTTCCCCCTCTCTCTCTCTTCTCGGGCAGGATCGTTAACTTATGTGATGGGGGGCTTATTGCAACTTTCCCTCTCCCCCCCCACGCACTCCCCTGCCTTCTTCTCCCCCTTTTAGTCGACAGTATCAGATTTAAAAGGATTTGTTTTAAAAAACCTTCTAATTTGGTAATCAGATTTAAATCGCCTTGGCGTGTGTAATCTGAATGGAAGATACTGTACAGCAAAAGGGGCTGAAGCGTGGTGACATTGTGATCCTGGGCTGGGAGTAACTTCAGCAGCGGTTCCCTTCTTCCCCCAAAGGGGTAAACCATGCAATCTTTGCTCCAGGCTAGAAAAAAAGTATTTTAAAAGAAGAGGAGAGGAGGGGGTGTTGGGTGGGGTGGGGAGACCAGAAAAAGAAACCCGACAACCGTTATTTGTGAATAATGAAAGCATCAAAGTTTCCCGGGTCAAACTGTGGTATAAAATCCACACCAAAGAAAAGGCGCTCCTATTTTCCCCTAACTTTATTTTTTGCCTGCAATTGCAGTCCAGCCGAACGGGTGACATCTGCCAGAATACCCCAATAATAACACTTGGATATTATTATGAAGGCTGTCTCTCCCCCCTTCTAATTTTTCATGAATAGCTTTTCTATACACTTTGATTTAACATTATTAACATTCTATAGGCAAGTGGCATCTTTAATATGTGGCGATCGCTTCTAAAGACTAATCTCATTACCCTCAAATAGTCATAAAATATGATTTTATTATACTTACGTATTTAATTAGACGGCCAACAATGTAATGGATTTTGAGATCGGGTAGAGCAACAGCTTTGATAATTCACTTATCTTTAGCAATAGTCATTAACCCCCAACACCAGCAAAATAGATTGCTTTCTAACACATCTTTTCACCCCCCCACCCCACCCCCCCCACCCTTGGAGGATGGTTAGGGGGTGTCCCCTGGTAACACAAATCGGACTTCGATTTTCACCGATTAATTAAAATATTAATGTACCTATCCTGCCAATTCACATAAAGCCAGTTCCTAACCCATCCGAGGGGGGGGGGATGCTTTTTATTCAATACCTAGTTGGTTTCACTCTTTGTCTTGACTTTAAAATAGGTCTGTTTGTTTGTGTGTGTGTGTGTGTGTGTGTGTGTGTCCTTTGTAGAAGAAGCGTCCAGAAGCCCCTTTGTCTATCTAAGGGTCTCCTGTACCAGCAAACGCCTTTAAAATAGCGCCTATCTACATATCCATCCATTCATCCATCAATCTGAGAAAAAATTCACCTAATGCCGTCAGCGACTGATCCTCTACAAGTAATAAAACAGTTTCATTCTTACTTTCTTTTGGGGCGGGGGGGTGTTTCAATTGCTGAGCCCCGATCTTCTACTCAGGTGTAAGTCCTACTGAGTTTAATGGGACTTTCTCTCAGGTAAGTAGAACAGGACCCCAATCTGACCCACTAGGAGGTTTGGAGATGCATCTCTCCCCGCCGCCGCACCTCCTCCCCCCCCCCGCCGCCGCCCTCCGCAACGCACGCACCCAGGCTCCTAACGATTCCTCGAAATCAGAGTTTCAAAGATGGGTCTCTGACCCGTTACCGGAAAAGCGTTAAAAGGAAAGCAGGAAAATCCCATCCTTTGGAAACCACCCAAAGGCGAAAGGCATCGATTTGAAGTTTAAATGTTTCTTTTTTTCCCCCCACTCCCGGACATCAATAGAGGCGCATAGCTGCAAAGCCTGATTGGGGGGGGGGAATAAAATCAAAGCGTAATCACAACAATTCACACACACACACACACACACCATTTGAAAGCCGTTCTTTGAACGGATGTTGGAGCGCGAAAGGGGGCGGCCGGCTATTGTTCCCGCTAGCCTGAACCTTTCCACGCTGTTAGAAAGTTTGCATGTCACAACTGCGCCTCTGCCGCTGACCCCGGGAGGGTCTCGCTCTCTTAACCGGAAGATAAAGGGGCTTTCAGCCAAGCGCCGCGCACCGATTGCCGCCTTCGCGCTTTGCGAACCACCTGTGATATTTGCAAAGGGTTGGACCGGGACTCTCCGAAGCGGGGGCCTCCTTTCATTTTATGCCCGTTTGCTTGCGTGCGTGTGTGTGTGCGTGTGTGTCTGTGCAATGCAGCCAAGTCCCGCCGAGCTTGGCCAATTCACTTTTCCACGGGCAGGAAACCTTTGCCGAAATTGCCTTCCCTTTCATAATGTAACCCGAATAACGCTGTAAAGAGGGAGGGGGAGTCGGGGGGGGGGTCCGGCATGTGCCTGCCTGACGGGGGGAGGATCCCGGTCACCGAGATATTTGTATCTGCCGCGCAGCGACCTCTTTTCCTCCCCCCCCACCCTCCCCTTCCTTCGGTCACACGCGCGCAGACTTCCCCGGTTCTTTGGAAGGAAGGTGTCGGGAGTAGCCAGGCGCTTTGTAATGCTTCGTGCTTAACACCCACCACCCACCCACGCACACACACACATACACAGCCTCGGTCTCTGTTGTTGATATTTAGGCTTACGGGGCTTTTTAACGACCGCGATTCTTTGCAAATTGAGAGGCGCTCCAGCTGTCCTTGGGATGTGACTTTCTTTTAAATATTGTAACTTCATTGGCTGCCGGCGCGCGTGTGTGTTGCATGCATATATATTCATATTCGTGTATGTGCACACACACACACACACACACAATATCTCGTAAAAGAAAGGGGGGCTTGAGTTATAAGGGAGGGGGAGGCGCGGCGCTGCACTCGGCGGCTGCAGCAGTCAGTCAGGACTAAACAAGCTGTGGAGCTCTCGGCTAACCGGAGGATTTGCTCGCCCCCCCTCCACCCCCCCATATATGGCGATGGCCCCGCCTCCCGAGCGTCAGAATCTGACAGCGCAGTTCCCGGGGGTTTAGAGTTTTGGCTCCCGGGAAAGGTTCCATTCCTAGGGGATAGGAGGCTGAGTTTCGTACGCTTCCCATCCATTCTGCAAGACGCTAAAGGCCCCTCTCCGCGCTCTCTCTCCTGTGTCCAGGAACACCTCCGTGGTAATCATTTTTTCGTTTATTTGTCTTTTGGAGCAGGAGAGCCTTGCCAGAAGTGGTCGATTCAGCAGTGTCCTGAAGGTTTTTTTGATGCTGTTTTACTTAGGATGACACCACGTTGAGAAGCCTCTGCAAACAAACCGCACACACACAAAAATAATAATATTATATTTATTTGTGGAAGAACGGAAGGAAGAAGAGAAAAGACGACCTTCGAATACGGACGCCTGCAATTTCTACTGTTTTTTTGAAACAACAACAAAAAACTTATTTTTTCCTTCCCTTCCCCTCCCCCCCTTTTCAACCCTCCGGGTTGTTGTTGTTGTTTTTTTAAATTTATTATTATTTTTTTAAATCTCCAAACTGGACCGCCATCCGAGTAGAACCGCTCACTACATTGTTCATGTCGTGTCAAGCCGGGACAGAGTGAAGACGGAAAGGACGACTCCAAACGGCGCTTCAGTTCGCGGGGAGTAAAAACCGCCGCTTCTATTCCGGCCGCCAAGGAGAGAAAGGAAGGAGCGCGGGAGGGGGGGGCCGCAGAGAAAGAAACGCCAAGCCGCCAACTTATCTCCCCCCTTTCCCCCCCCTTTTCTCTGACATTTCCCGTCGTCTTTTTTTTTTAGCCGTCTTTTGGTTAGAAGCTGGTTTTGGCCCCCCCCAAAAAATTGTTTTAATGTTTGGGATTCAGGAAAATATACCACGAGGTGGGACGACCATGAAAGAAGAACCGCTGGGCAGTGGAATGAACCCCGTCCGATCATGGATGCATACCGCCGGGGTTGTGGATGCTAACACAGCCGCGCAAAGGTACGTGTGCCAAACGGTCCTTTCTCTCTCTCTTCCCTCCCGTGTTTTTGTCTCGCACACCGGCCGTAAATCGCCCCCCCGCCCCGCGCGCTTTTGCATCAATTGCAATCTCTCTGAACTCCGCTCTCTCTTCCCACCCCCCCCCCCCCAAAAACCCCCCGTGCGCACAAGGCGCTTCTCCCTCTTTCTCGCCTTCCGTTACATCACATTACGGCTAAAAGCGACAAATCAAGGAAGTCTCGGGGTTTTTTCCCCCCCAAATGTAATAATTCCCAGCATCTCCCCGTGGTTATTTTTTCCTTCTTCTTCTTTTAATCAGAAGCCTCCTCACTCTACCCGACCCCCCCCCCCACTCCGAGTCCCTACTCCTTCTTTTTTCCTCCAATTCTCACCGAGACATTGTCTTGTTTTTCTTCCCCGCAGCGGCGTTGGGTTGGCTCGGGCACATTTCGAGAAACAGCCGCCTTCCAATCTCAGAAAATCCAATTTTTTCCACTTCGTCTTAGCTCTGTACGACAGGCAGGGACAGCCAGTCGAGATTGAAAGGACAGCTTTTGTGGACTTTGTGGAAAAAGATAAAGTAAGTTTTGTGTTTTTCTGTCTTTAAATGTCATCTTCCGTTTCCCCAAAACTGTTGTACAGGAATTGGTGCTATCTGAGCCTGGTTCCAAGGGCTAGATTTAATCTTTTACCTTGACTTCGATGCCGCCAGTTATAACGGGACTCCAGAGGCATCCAAACCACGTGTAGTTTCCCCCAAGTTCTGATGCCAAGGATTGGCCTCTTTAAGACTTGCTTGCAAAGTTGCGTCGGCCCAACTGGATGCTTTGAACAGGGAAAAGTCACATTTTTCGGTAGCAGACAAACCTTCTCTGCTGCAGCAGTAAGCAAAGCAAATAAACCTCTCAGGAGTGGAAATAGGGTAGATGTATGACAGTATGAGCAGTTACAGGCCGTGCGCTGCATTTTGCAAAAATAAAAACGTTTTTTTAAAAAAATGCAATTATTTGTTATTACTTACAGGAGCCAAACAATGAAAAAACTAACAATGGGATTCACTATAAACTCCAGTTATTGTATAGTAATGGTAAGTTTAATTCAACCATGCTTCTTTGTTGTTGTTGTTGTTGTTGTTGTTGTTGTTGTTTTTGTGCATATCTTTATATATGCTGGAAAACTGCTACCTTTTTTCTGGGGCCCTTTCAGCAAAAAAAAAACCCCAAAGAAACAAAGATTTCTGAGATTAAAATTACCCGACTATAAACATGACTCTCCTCATGGTATAGAATGGAAACAAAACATAAAAAGATCAATAAGTCAATGGTACTTTACATGATTAACCGGCTGTCTTGAAGTAGAAAGTAACAACAACAAAAACACACACACGCACCACGAAAACAAAACAAAGCCAAGGATAAATAAATAAATAAAAACCCACCAGGAATCAATATTGACTCCAGCATAACATCAAGCTTTAAGAGATTCCCTGCTCTGCTTTGGCAAATGAATGTTAATTATTGTGCCGTCTACCTCTAACGTGCCAGATGTTACACACGCCCAGGTTGGATGAGCCTGGAAGCTTGGTAGCAAAAGAGATAAGGGAAATGGCATTCGGAAATCCCAGCCACCTTCTTTTCCTTTTGATTTTGCAATAACCTAGGCTGGTGTAATGAAACGGGCAGTCTTCTGTCTCCTGTTTCTTTGGACTGTGTGCTTCCGTCAGTCCACAATTTATGTTCTTTAATTCTTTTTATTTAAATCCATTCTCTCTATCTCTCTTTCCCCCCTCCCCATCCCCTCAACTTCTTAAGTAAGCTTGAATACATGTTGTATCTGAGTAACTTATCTTGCTCAGCGCATAGTGCTATTAATGCTAGATGCCTTCTGATTAATTTTTCTTCCATTTTTCCAGGGGTTAGAACGGAACAGGATTTGTATGTTCGGCTAATAGATTCCATGACAAAACAGGTGAGAGAAGTTTAAAGCTTTCTAAGAGTTGATGAGTTGTTGAGTTGGGTCTGTTTTCTGGGTAGGTTTTTGACCCCCTTCCTCTATGAGCCTCCCTGATGTGTTACTTAAACATTCTATACTGAGGATAAATATTTAGGGCCCGAAAGCGTTTTGTGGTTACTACCTTAAACTTCCCACCTGGACTTATAGTTCAGTGTGCTGCTAGTTAGGAAAAGGAGAAATGACCAGAAAAGAAAATGTTAGAGAATTATATGGAGTTATTTTTTTTTTAAAACCCTGGAGAAAAGCGCTCTAATGTTATTTTAGAACAATTTGGAGGATTAATTTTGTAACAGGGATGATAAGATGAAAATCAGGTTTTAATCTTGTGGCACTAAAAATCAAAGGTGATTTGTCCCCCCCCCCCAATCCCATTCTTTTTCTCTCCCTCTTCCTTTTAAAAGAGATGATTTAGAATCATCAGACATTTATTTGGGATGTAAAAGTTAAATGTGCAGAGGTGAAAAGTCATCTTGTTCTCCACTAGTCCGGATTCACCTCGCACTCCCCCATCTCCATAATTCAAGCTCCCTGCTCCAGAGGTCACCCACCCCCGTCCGTTTTCTCTGAAATCAGCTCCTGTTTCTTCCCCAAGCCTCTGCCATCCCTTGTAAATAACATAATTACAAGCTGATCCTTGTTAAATTATTTAGCATCTTTTGGACAACTTTCTGAACTGCAAATGTTATCCAAACTCCCTTTAAAACTAATTGTTTTAAAACTGCCTGTTAGCTGTTGACTGAAGGATTCCGCCTCTTGGCTTCATTTTATTTTTCTAAGAGATGCATTCATTGGCTTTTCAGTCTGCTTCTTCTGTTTGGGATGAAGCAGCAAATTAAGGGGACTGTATCCTTCGCAAATAATACAGTCTCAATGGTAATCCCTTATAAAATGGCCCCGTGCATTATTTTTGGGGGGGTCTTTCTTTATGAAAGAGCAGAAAGAGGAATGTATTTTCTCTGTCATCACTTGGAAAAATAAAAAGAATGAAACATTAAGGACAAAAGACTGTTTTCCCTTAAAGATACATTTAAGACCTCATTTCAGTTAGTTTAAGCTTTCAAGCGCCCTTCCCTCCACTCTGCTTTTGAGAGCAGAAAGTTTTCAGTCTTCTTGACAAAAATAGGGTTAGATTTAAATGCCCCCAGCAGTAAATGAGTGGTATTCTTTTGCAGAAAACCCGATCTGACAGGCAAAACGCCAGTCCCTTGACAAAGGCGGGGGCGTTGTGCCCTCCAATAATTTTTTCAGTAGGTTACAAAGAAGCACCCTTTTAAACTCTGGGGCGCTCTCGAGTTGACAACGTATTTCTTATTTCCTCTGGACATACCAGCTAAATGTTTTCGGAAATCGCTGTAGGCTAATTAAGGGGATAATATGGGCAGCTCTGTAGGTTTTCACTGCTCTGGAATGAAGGAGAGAAGAGTGAGAGAGAGAGAGTGGCTGAGAGAAAGAGAGAGAAATAATTTTAAAGCACGTTTTTTTATTAGCCCTGGAAGTTGCGGACTTTTGCAGGAGTTCCACTGCAGAAAATACAAGCTTTTAATCTCTCTTCGCTGATGGAGGAGAGAGAGAAGGCGGGGGGGGGGCGGAATAGCCCAGTAACTGATCAAAGAGTCAATGGCGCTGAACCGACAGTTTATGGATTTCTCTTGGTGCTACAAAATAAAAAATAAATCACATCTAAATACGCGGATTCATCCCGGGCAAAGTAACTATCATCCGAAGTGGAATGGCTCGCCTACAACAACAAGAACAAGGACAACAAAACATTTGCAGACCCTCAGTGCTGGCTCTTATCTGAGGGGGTCCTACGCTCCTTCAAGCTTCCCAGACAAGTCCAAGCTTTTGTCGGGGAAATCTTTGGAAAACCAGGCGCCCCCTCCCCGAGTCCAGGACGCCGCGCTTTCCCAGCAGAGCCAGCCCCAGAGTGGCTTTAAACGCCGGTTAGGTAAGGGAGAAGCTCTTTTCCCGAGAGCTCGTGGCATCGAAAAGAAGGGGGAGATGGAGGCGCTTCGTGTCTTTCCCCCCCCGTCCCCCTCCTCTACTTGTTTCTGCACCGTGCACAGCGCCGGTTGCAACGAAGGCAACCGGGCTGGTAGGAATGGGAAAGCCCAGCGTGGCCTCGGTGAGCTAGAGGCGGCTGAGGCCTAGGCTACGAGAAAGGGGAAAGCTGGCGGGGAGGGGGGAAGCAAAGCAGGAGAAACGCCAGAAGGAGAAAGAGAAGAGAGAAAGGCGGAGGAGGAAGGAGGAAAAGAAGAAGAAGAAGAAGAAGAATGGAAGGAAGGAAGGAAGGAAGAAAGAAAGAAAGAAAGAAAGAAAG